ACCCCCACATGCCCCAAGCGCAGCCCTGGCCCAGCCCGCCTGCTGGAAAGAGCCTGGCATTGCCCCCAGTCCCACCCAATAGCAGCAGCCCATCCTCACCCTGCACACAGGCCTTCCCTTGGGGGTGCGCACAATGGCAGAAGCTCTCTGCCCTCCCTGTGCCCCACAGATGAGTCACTCATGGCTCTGTACTATGCCCCACCCTGGCTGGGCAGCCCCTGCCCCAGCCCCACTCCCTCCCTTACTGTGGGGGCCTCTATCTGCACCCCCCATGCCCCTTCTCTCCCCCAACCCCTTCCCCTCCCAACAGAGTTACCAGCTGGATGCCATTCTCCACACTGCCAGGCTGCATATTGGCAATCGGATCAGCATCAGCCAATATGGCTCATTAATAATTGGCCATTGGTATTGGCCTAAAAAATCTTTATCAGTGCACCCCTACTGACTACCTCTCTTTACTGCTTGGTATGATTTAGTCTTAGGGCTGAGATGCAAGTACATTACAAAAGTAGATAAGAATAGAATAGGATAATAACAAATTATAGCATGTTTGGTCTACAATCATAACTATTTTTACATTGTAGATGAGGCCTCTCTCTGTTTTACAGCTTACCTCAAATGCAATCCTGAATTAAGCATTACACTTATTGTACCAGATAAAACAAAAGATAACCAAAGGCCAATAGGTTTGTTAACATCAGTGCATTGCTACTTGAGCACTTCTGCAGCAGTTTAATATGAGTATCTCTCTTCTAAGTGTTTATCTAAGGATAGAACACACGAGGAGGAAAAAAACTCCCAGGCAACCCCTACATTTAAATAATATCAAGACTGGCCCCAAAAGCCTGGAAATTCAAAGATAAGGTAGGCACTTCATCCTTAACTTGGGCCAACCTGCCTTTTTTCCCTCACAACAGCCGAACTGCAGAGGAAGCAACAGCATTATCTCAGCTTTTGTCAGTGTGTGCCAGAACCTAGCTGTCATTTAAAACTAGAATGGAGGATTTTTCTACCTAATGCCCTCCTTATATTATATCTGATGATACATAATCACTACATGAAAGACTATAAACCACAGTTGTTTTTAAAGGGAATACACAAGAAACAGTGAAGACAATTCTCACAGATTTTAATTGATAAATTACTGCACTCTTTTTCAGGGAGGAGGTTTTTTAACAATAATTTATTTTCTTTCATAGCTTGTGCCTAATTTTTACATCTAACCTAGTTTAGCATTGGTGTGGTATTGCCAAAGTAAGCAATGTGCTTATTTTGCCAGAGTGGGTGTCACACTTGACAGTGCCTTTTGATGCCTCATGCCATGCCATGCCAAGTTGGCGGGTGGGTGGTGCCTTCCACATGCCATATCAGGAGACACAATGCCTTGGACCATTTAATTTGCCTTGAGAGTTAATTTAGCTGAAGGTAGATAGCTCAAAATTGTAACAGAGAATTCAACTTCTCTGCCCCCTACAGGATATATAAAATGGTTACAGAGTAAAAGCAGATTGAAGCCTAATGGCAAGTTTAAAATATTAACAGCTCCATTATCCAAGGAGGCTCTTTTCAGATAGAATTTGTCCGTATGCCAACCCATACACTGAATTTTGTGCATAGTCTGTGCACACAAATATTAGCATTTACATATCTGAAACTCAGTAGTAGTCATTTTGCCCATGCAAGTATGTTTTGTGAAGATGGATTCTTTAATACATGTACTGGGTGACAGTGCATGGAGACTGTACATGCAAAGTTATAAGAGCACAAACAATGACACATGCTGAAATTAGGGAGCTATATTGCACATACATAATAAATAAATACCCTATTCTTATAATAGTATATATCATGTGGACACCTCAAGGCTCTTGACAAAGGAGGTCAATACCCTTATCCTTATTTTGAAAATGGGGAAACTGAGGCATAGACGTATGCAATTAGTTTCTCAAGGTCACCCAGCATATCAGCAAGAGAGCCAGGATTAGAAGTCAGGTGTCCTCAGTCCCAGTTTGGATGCTCTACCCACTAAAAGACAGACTGGTGGGCTGCAAGTATATGCCATGAAACTAATTTTATCATAAAAAATATATTTACATAGCCACTACACATATTAAATGTACTAACAATAAATCTAATGATAATAAAAAAATGACCATAAAGAAAATTTATGACTTAGACTTATATCTATACATCCAGGGTATGTTATTTACACTGTTAACAAAGACATGCTAACAGCTGGTTTTGATTCTACAATGAAGTCCAATTATTATCCCCACATTACATCTTCTTAGGGCTCAGTCCTATAGCACGCTGAGCACTCTCATCTTCCACAGGGTTGGATTTTTCAAGGTGCAGCAACCCTTCAAATCCAATTCACTTCAGCAGGATTTAGGATACTCAGCACTTCGCAGGACAAGATTTTTAAGCAGCACCAGGGTATGTATCACTTCAGTATTTGTTCATGGTAAGAATATTCAGGTCATCTGAGACCTTTCTTGAAGCTTAATTTTGTTTCTTGTGAGCTCCAGAAACTTGGATCAAAAAGAACAACTTAGTGGATAACTAGTGAAGATGACCTCTGCATTTCATAATGGATAGGCATCATGATAAATGCAGTGAAATCTGTCTGAAACTTATGCTCAAGGACATGAGTGACTGGTGCCTCCTGAATCTGGGGGGGCACCTGCAGAAGCCACTGATGGCAATGGCCCCGTCAGAGGGAGCACCAGCCCTACTGACAGCAACAGCCCCATCGGGGGGAGGGGGGGCATGTGCACCCCCCGTGTACCCCCTACCAGCCGCCTATGCTCAAGGACCTGCCAAAACTGGCTCCTTAATGGAGGAGAAGGTATATACTTACTGAATGAAATCCTGGCTTTGTAAAGGTTTTAACATAGACTTGATTGAAACTTGCTCTCACCTAGGGAAACTTTGGGATAGTGTTTTAGGAAAGGAAGTACCTGGAGAAAGCTGGTGGCTTCTAGAACTAGTTATTATCTAAATATCTGGAATGAGTCACAACATCCAACACAAACTGCGGATGGAAGGACTCTTAGCTGCCCTCATTAATGATACAGGGACATATGTATATTTTTTCCTTCTTCTACATATAGACATAGGGATGCTTATTTCAGCATGCACACATAAGAACATAAACATTGGAG